TTTAAATAAATGGGTTAATTTTGAGTCCCTGTATGGCACTATTGTGTTACTTCCAGTCATTTGATTTTCACGCAGTATGTCCAGACAAGATCTCAGAGTCATTAAAGAATTATTTATGCAACATGCTTCACGCAATCGAGTTCCGGAATTCTTTGTGCGCACAGCTCGTTCACTTCCTGCCAAGTCTACTAAAGATAATTGAGAAATGCAAACTACTCTTTTCTCTTGGATTACATTTTCTCCAGATTGATCAGTTGGTGCCTGCACCAATCGAATTGTAAAAACAGAGTGACTGCGTGAGCTCTCTGAATTCATATTAGTACAACCCATCCTTTTACGCCTCAGTCCCCTGTTAAATATTTCAACAGCCTCCTCAGTACTTTTGCATTCAATTTCAGTAATCCCATGCAAATACATATTCTTAGCACCATCTTCACGTATCATTCTGTTTTGCAGGCTACGCTGATCTTTATTAGCACTTTCCTCTAGCAAATCATATATGCTATTATTATATATCTCAGCAAAAGTAACAAATACTGAGTAAATATTATCATCGTCTACTCCTTCAACTACAGAGAGATCTTCAGTAATAACAGGTGTTTCCAAGTCAGAGTTACACCGTTTGGGAGTTTTCGAATATTTGCTAGACAATTCTGCATGCCTCTCAGCACAAGCATCAGCTTCGGATTGAACATCAAAACCATTTAACTTATCTGGCTTGAATATAAATTTCTTAGCATGATTGTTAGCAATAGTCTTAAATAGGACATCAATACTACGCTGCATAAGACCAGGGTTCTGTTTATCACCGACCATTGTGTAAGTCTTACCGCTGCCTGTAACTCCGTAAGTAAATAGAAGCCCATTGCGACCTCTTACTAAATTCTCCACTAACGGACGAGCGACTTCATTGAATATTTCATTTTGGCCTATGTCAGCATCAAAAACGCGTCTGAATTTGTACTTAACTTCTTTAAAGTTTGCTCGATAATTCACTGCAGTTGTTGGTGGTGATAATAGAACAGACGATTGGGACACTAGTTTTAAACAGGACTCTTCAGACTCATTTTTCATGGGCCGTAGTCTGCAATAAGCTTGAACAGGGTCTTTGGTAGAATTTGATCCATTTGTATTTAATTTTATTTGCTTTGGGGTTTTTGACCATTCTTTGTTGTTTTCATTTTAATATTATGCACTTTAACCGATTATTTTATTTTCAATATTGACAACTACCCGTCAAGTACGTTAATTTCGTTCAGTTTGAAGTTTGAAACATAGAATATGATTATGAAATGTATGGTAACACGACGCGCGAAACCAAACCATAGACCATAGATAGGAAAGTAAACCCTGAACCTGAAGCCCAAAATGTTGACAAGATAAAAAACGTTCTTGTCCTTATTTTGAATAATATTACAAATTATAATAAATTAAGCATTATATTATACTTGCTAAAAGTTCTTGTACTTTATAAAAGCATTTGCTACTCTAACGATTTGAAAAGTCTGCGAATTTTTTTTGACAAGCAGTTGGCAGCTTTGAAAATCAGATTGCTCGAGAATTGTTTTGGCGGTTCACTACCATATCTTATCAATGTATGTTTACGTTTGCTAAAGTTAAGTTTTAACAAAGTGATTTTTAATATGTTTTACTAAGTGTTTTATATACGAACGTAGAAGTGCCTTCAAGTTCATGGTGCTTTGATTATCTTAAATATGGATGAATCATTTTTACATTTATACAATGCACAGAATGCTATAGCAATTTTAGATCAAAATTCTACTGACAGAGCAACACAATATACAGTTTTAAAGTTCGAGTTAAATAATGTTAAAGCACATGATTTACACTTGCCATATTCGGATTACAAGAAATTATTAGAACACCTGGAAGCGGATTTAAGTTCTGACAGCTCTAACATACTTTTGTTCCATACTTTGAATTCTTTATTGGCTTGTTCTATTTCTCAGGTAAGTTTATACACTTATTAGTGTTGAATTCTATTTATCTATCATTTCGAACATTTTCATTTATAAAATAGTAATTTGAACTATTATTCATAATTGACATTTTGAACCTTGAATTTTGTCTAAATCTTTGCATAGACATTTAATTAGCCTACATAATTTTGATGACTTTGTATATTGTTCTATTGTATACATTTAAAAATACTGAATAATCATTTATTTATAATATAACTCTTTAGTGATACATTTAAATAAATTTTGCAAAACTAAGTTTGTTTCACGAATATATGGAAACATTATATAATTTTATAAATTTTTATGAAAAAATACATGATACATGAATAAATATGATGTTAAAATGATTCATAATAATTCCTAGTTCTTGTATATAATTTTTTTTATTATTGAAATAAACTTTTCAATAAAAATAATATGGAGATTATTCTTGTTACAAATTAGGGCTTGGTTAATTAATTATAAGTTTTTTGCAGTTTAATTGATACCTTAATTAAATCATGCAAACTGTTTATTTTAGGATGAAAAAATTCCCATTGGATCTCATCGTAAAATTTTGGATATCATTTGTAAAGAAATTAAAAATGAAAGTCCTACTGAGGTTACAACCTACTTGAGGATTATCTCCCTTTGTTTGAGTGCTGATTTATATTTTTACTTGGTTGAAATGAATCCTGAGGCCTTTGCTCAAATATTTAAGAAATGCATTGTAGCCGATCAAGAAATAAAGATTTTAGTAAGCTACTTATTAACTTTATATTTGAATGGAAACTCACAGATGAACTCATATAACACTTTTGTTAGTCATTCATATAATTAAAAGCTTCATCAAATAGGATTTCTTAAACATTAATATATAAGTTGTAAATATGAGTGAGACTCGCTCATGGCAAAAACTAACTGGCTGTTCTCTTAGAAAATGTTACAAAATTGTTAATGTAAGGCGTAGAATAAAGAAAATTCTATAATCTTAATTATTTCTTTGATAGAAAAGGAAAGAAATAAGTAAAAAAATATTCCAATTTATTGTTTTTAAATATGAATTTTCGAAATGATTGCATTGAATGAATCATTTATTAATGTTGTAGGAGAGTATTTTTAAAATAGAATAGCTTTTTGCGAGAAGCCTCTTAAAGTTGAAAGAATATATAATTTACATATTATATTAATATATTTATATATTACATAATTAATATATAATATTAATCAATAAATCTTTTTGCAGATTTTAGAGACATACAGCAAACTATATATGGATGATATGATTAGTCTAACAGGAATCATATCTTTGATTAATTTGACAATAAATGACCTATTAATACATGTATTTCCAATTATGTTTGAGGAACCTAATGATCTGAGGGTTTGTGCATTAAATTTGATGTCAAAATTGGTACCTGCTTTTATTAAATCAAATTATCGAACACATCCGGAGTGGATAAATATAAAACAACATTTAACGAATAGGTATTTCTATGGCAAAACAATAAATTTATTAGTTTTTGATTGAAAATTTACTTAAGTTAATATTTAAACTAAATTCGATCAAAATCTAAAAAATATAATTTGAATTCTTTGGATGCAGAATTACAAGAAGTAATATTATTAATGTTAATGTATAAGCAGTTAGATTTGAATATATTTTATTATTTAGGTATAGCAATACAATTAAGAATCTACTAATAAATGATAGTGATTTATGGCACAAATCTTGGATATTGGTAGTTATGCTGCTTTCACCAGAAATTAATAAAAGTTCAAATATTATGAACAAATTACTTTCAATAATTGAAGTGGGACTAAAAACTCAAACACAAATTGCAAATACATGGGATTGCTGGAAGGTAACTTTTTAAAAAGAAATATGTTGTATATATGTGTCCTTTCACATACTATTTTATATGTATTGTATTATTTTATAATTAGGTCCTAATAACTATATACAGTGAATCATCTGGTAGTGGTCAGGGAATACAGAATCCAAAATATATAAAACTGTTATCGTGCCCATTCAAAAGACAATTAAAATATAATACTGCTTTTGATAGAATGTTTGATACATGGATTCACCTGTTTGCAAACATACCAAGAGAACAATTTGATGAAAATTGTGATTTGCTTGTTAGACCTTTTATAGAATTCAGTTTTGGTGTTAACACAACTGATACTTTAAAAGTGAAAGAGGTTAGTATATAATATACTGCTTTAAAACCATGAATGCAATGTTTTAACTAGTATGTTTTTGAATAATATATATAGAATAGAATAGTATATAAAATTGTTGTTGAGTATAATTTAAACTAGTTGATTTGGTATTTAGCCTTGAGGCAAGTTACATGAACTTCCCGATATGTGTAAATAATCGACTTAATCAAAAAAAAAAATGTGTAAATAATATACTTCATCAAACCTACTTTAAAAAAACGATAATAATTTTAGCAAACTTTGACAAATTTTTAAAATTAAACTACTTGTCGTAAGGACGTAATATTACAGTAAGTTCTATAAGACCATGATGTATATCGCCAAAAAAAGTTTCATGAAAATCGGCTTAATTTTTTTTTCAACAGTTAATTACAAGAAAACGGCTCGGTAGATTTTCACCTAAAACTAATCAGTATCATTCCCAACTAATATCTTTCGAAAGGTTTTTGATTTTTTAAAATCAGTTCGGTAGGATGAGCTTAAATGTGGACGAAAAGTTTAACACTTTTTTTCAACAGTTAATTACAAGAAAACGGCTCGGTAGATTTTCACCTAAAATTAATCAGTACCATTCCCAACTAATATCTTTCGAACAGTTTTTGATTTTTTAAAATCGGTTCGGTAGGATGAGCTTAAATGTGGACGAAAAGTTTAACACTTTTTTCAACAGTTAATTACAAGAAAACGGCTCGGTAGATTTTCACCTAAAATTAATCAGTACCATTCCCAACTAATATCTTTCGAACAGTTTTTGATTTTTTAGAATCGGGGTTCGGTAGGATAAGATTAAATGTGGACGAAAAGTTTAACACTTTTTTTCAAATTGCAAAGAAACGGCTTGGCAGATCGTCGCACAAAACTGACAAACGATAGTCCTCACCGAAATACATCAAATGGCTTTTAAATTTCTAAAATCGGTTCAGGCGTTTTTGAGAAAACGTCGATCAAAAGTCTAATTTTGACAAATGCCAAAAAAACGATACCAATTTTTTCGAACTTTGACGAATTTTTAAAGCTGAACCAGTTGTCGTAGGGCCGTAATATTTTAGTATGATCTAGAAGACTATGGTATCTACCGTCAAAAAAATAATCATAAAAATCGTCGAAATTTTTTTTTGAAAACTTTATTGCAAGAAAACGGCCCGGCCGATCTCTACCAAAAACTAATCAGCACGATTCCCAACCAATATCTTTCGAACAGTTTTTGAATTTTCGAAATCGATTCAGAATTGCGGGCTAAAACGTAGACGAAAAATTTTTCACTTTTCTGCGATTTATAAAGAAACGGCTTGGCCGATCGTCGCACAAAATTAACAAACAATAGTCCTCATCGAGATACATCGAGTGGCTTTTAAATTTTTGAAATCGGTCCAGCCGTTTTTGAGAAAACGTCGATTTACGGCAAAAAATCTGTTCACATACACGCACACACACACATACACACACACACACACACACACACACACATACTTTTTCCAAAGTTGGTCTCATTCGATTCAGAATGGCTTGAAACGTCGAGAAAACATAAAATTAGCAATTCGGATTTTTTGAAGAAAACATAAACTTCTCCTTCGGGAAGTTAATATTCAGTAAAAGTAAAACAAAACTACATAAACTAAAAGAAATGAATAGTTTTTCAGAGACCATTAACATATTTTTTCATTATTGAAATATAAACATGTAAATTTTGCCATATGCATACATATTATTTCTCTACAATTTGATTACCTTTTGCAGCTAGTTCCAAAGATTTTTTTTGTCTTTGTACAAATGGTAGGCCACAGTTGTGAAGGGGAAAAATGTTTATCACACAATTCCACTGCAAGTTCGGTACCACATAAAATAAATGGATATTTGGCTTCCTATAAAGTTTTTAATACATATTGGAAAGAAATTTTACAATGTTCTGGTGATATGATCAAGAATTTAATGAAATTAAATCCACTAGAGTACAAGTAGGTTTAATAGTGCTTAGGTGCATTACTATGACAAAAATTGAATTATTGAATTAATAATTAATTGTAATTTAGATGGTCTGACATTGCAAGTTGTGTTTGGAGTAGAATGTTGAAGCTAATAAACATGCATTTTTTAAACTCTGAAAAAATTTCAGAAGTGCAAGAGGAGTTGCTGCGGATTCTAAGTTTGCTTGTTGTGGTAAGTGGTTATTAATTCTTAATTATTTAAAAAAAAAAGAATTTGGGTTTTCAAAATTTTTCTACTAACATTGAAAGTTTGTGCTATTACCTTTTTGCCTCCAATCGACAGTACTATTGTATCAAATATTAAATTTTTAATAAAATGAAGTAAAAGGTATGATTTCAACTGCAATATCATTTATAATTTTAGCATTTTTATAATTTATAATAAAATTTTTAAATAGTTACACATTTACAGAAGTGCATTTTGTTGAAATACATTTAAAAAGTTTTTACTTTTGTTTATATACTTCTGTAATATAAACATGATTAATTACTTGGCCCTGATAATTTGAGTAAATACTTGCATGTGAAATGGCTTTATTTTTTGGTTGCTCGAGGTCATTTTAAAAATTCTTTATTTTTAAATCTATTTTTCTGATAATGGTTCATAAAAATAGATGTCTTATGTATGTATATTTAAAACCTTGGTATTATTTCACCATTTTCAGTTTCTAGATAATTATCTTCATTGCCATCATTATGTATTCTCTCTCACTTTCATTAAAACTTTGGTTCATTATCATTAAATATTTGGCCTTGCAAATAATCTTTACCGAAACTTGGTATTTATATCTCTTTATACAAACTATAATGAAATGAATAGAACACATAAATACCAAGAGATACATGTTAAATATTGTCTAAACTCAAAATGATATTGTTTTAGTAATCTAAGGAAAAACTTGATAAAAATGCTTAGATTTAATAATGTTAATTCTATTGTTTTTATTATTTATTAATATATGCTAGCAAAATATATATTTTTGCAAGTAAATTAATAAGTTACACCAAATTAAGTTAACTCGTTATACTATATTTATTTATTTGATATATCTTATCTAAACTTAGATGTCCCAAGGCAACAATCAGTTGGCATCTGTTTGTCTTCAATCTCTTTTAACAAAAACTGCTGAAGAATTTTCTCAGAAATTGAACTTCAAAGAAAATAAATATGAATTCAAATTCATAGATTTAATTACCCTGCCATGTATGGTGTCATGTCTTGGAAATGATTCATTGTAAGTATTCAAATTCAAATGCTTCATTAATGTGCATTGAAATCTTGACAATTTCATTAGAGATTTATGAACTTGTTGTAAAATCAATGCGATAAAAAAATCAAATAACTAAAAAATATATTTAGTTGTGACCAAAAACTTTAGGTCATGATTGCTAATTTTTTATTTGAACAAAAATCTATACATTAATAAATGTAACATGAGTCACTATTTGTCATTCCATTTAATAATTACTTCAATTTTCAATTGTAATTTCAGAGTTCCAGTCTATAAGAATTTGTTATTAAATTTTCTGAGTGATGTGTCATCAATGAAGTTTGCTTGCAGTAAAATTTTAAATTTGATTAAAAATATGACCGCTGAAAACCCTGTTCCGAATATTACATATGATCTGTTTTGTGAGACAGTGGTTGACAAAATCTCTGGGGCTGGTAATTTTTTTACCAATAATATTGAGGATATAGCACATATTTTAACACAGTTTATTGTGTTTCCATTTGAACATAAAAACTATTTGAGAATGGTGAGGAATAAATTTATTTCTATAGGCTATGTTTAAGATCATATTTAATTACAGGCTGTTACAGTAATATATGTAAGATAAGTTATTATAGACTATTGATCAAAAGATATTTAGAACAGTGGTCAGGGAACTTTTTTAATCATTATCCCAAAATATTTTACCCTCATACAGACAATAGAGATTACCGCCATATGGGCAACTACATAGCAAATACAGTAAATATCAATTAAAAACACATACTTTTTACCCCCAAAAATTCCAAATTTGCCGCATTGGGTGTAATTTACTCTGGTTTCCGGACCACTGATTTAGAGGATCATAATATTTCATATTTAACAAAAGAATTGTAGTATTTTATTTATGAAAGAGTACAATATTTATTAATTTTGTTAGCAGCAGTTATCTTTGTGGTTTTTGGTAAAAATTAAATTATTTTTTATTAAGCATTTAATATTAAGCATTAGCTTAACTTAAGCTTAAATTAAGCAACATTTAATAGCTATTTTTAAGTTAAAAATTTGTAATGATTTCTGAAATTCAGTTATTATTTGTAATAATTTGTATTTGTAATATTTACATTCTTAACACTGTTTTGTATTTTAGAAAGATAACACAATAGAAAATTTAAATATGTTGCATGCAAAATGCTGCTCAGAAAAGGTAGACAAAGTTGTCGCAGCAAAAATCAATGCTGAAATTGCCGTAAAGTTATATTCAACAAATGTAAAATCACCTTTAGACACATGTGAAAAAAGGCACAGGAAGAATTTATTTGTTCTTTGCAATAATGTAATTTTAAACATTTTTGCTACAGTGTTGGAAAGGATAGAATATGGTATGTCATGCAATTTTAATGTAATTTAATTAAATACATATGGTAGAATTGTTTATCACATTATCCCTGCATGAAAATTTGATGTTTTTAGTTTACATAATATGTTTTAATTTATCATTAAAAATGTTTGCTTAATTAAATCAAAAATTAAATATTTTTTATCATCTCTAAATTGTGAACCTTGGTTCATGTACTCAACAAATTGTTCTAACAATGTGAAACTTTTTTGTATTGATAAATTGAATTAATCATTTATACATCTTTCTAAAACTTGTAATTTTTATCATTTATTATTTAATAATGTGGCGTGATAAGCATTTCTATAAATTAAATTATCTGTGAATGCTTTTAGTTAGTATGTTTTGCCAATGATGATAACAGTGAATATGACAATTAGTGAATTTTTGATAAAGTGTTTTATAGCTCATCGATGAAAACCCTTGCATTGTAATCTTGACAAATTCATTTGAGGTTTATGAATTTGTTGTAAAATCAATGCAACAGGAAATTCAAATACATACCTAAGTAGCCAAAATTGAGAGTTTTAGATTTTGGTAACTTTTATTATTTGGACATTTTTATAATTTCAATGTGGTTTTAGATGAGCTTTTATCAAAAAAATATATTCTGCTATATGTGATATTTCTTTAGTAATCTGAGGCATATAATATATGTTTGGATTTTAAAAATTTTGTTTCAAACTTTATTTGATGATTACACTATTTGTTTTTTAGATGCTGAAAGTATTTCCATATTTTTGAAATTGTGCAGTCAGATGATCATTTTCATGAAGAAATCAAGCAATTCTGTTTTTGGAGAATTTCAATTTGGAAGTGAAGATTTTGAAAAATCCCTAATCACCATAGAAAGATTATGCTCGATTTTGAAAAGCTTGAATGTCATTACGATAGTAAAATGTTTACAAGAGTTTGTTGCTGTATTTGACAATATTTTAGAAATTCGAGAAATTTCTGAGCTTAGTAAATTCAATGTATCTGTAAGTACTTTTTCAACTAGAACACTATTATATATGAAAGGCATTACTAATTTTATCTTTTTTTTAGGTCACAAATACAGTTGATGATTTATGCAAATATTATATAAATAACTATCAAATAAAACTAAATGAAAATAAAAGTTTTGATAAAGTATTGAAGTCTTTTATACCAATTTTCAAGAAATTTGCAATTGATGATAAAAATATAAAAGAAATAAGTGCATTAATTCAAAGGTAAAATGTAAAGATTTTTTTTTATCTGGGATTTAATTTACATTTTTTATCGATGCCAATATGTACCTTAACATTTGTATGTTAAAAAAAAATAAATTAAAATAATGTTAGTAAAACTGCAGTCTTAATAAGTACTTTCATTTTACAATTTATTTTAATATTACTATTACTTTTTGTATAGTTAGTTATGCAGCAGGCTTAAGTCTATTGCATAACTAAATTAAGTCTTGCCAATTTAATTTTATGAATTGAATTGAATTATCATCATCTAAACCTGATGTCATCACGTAGATTAATGATTTTAATTGAAAAAGGAATGCAATGACGAATTAAATTCAACTAAAATTTTAATTTGTGGTTTTTAAATTTGTATTACATTTTTTATTTATCTTTTTTAGTGGTGATACACCTTCTACAACTCCTATTCGCACGCCAACAATTTTTGGAAAAAGCCCTGGTTTGATAAATTCAAGACATTCTCCTAATTGTGGTACTCCTAAATCAAAGAAATGTCTTGAAGATGATTTTATAGTTGTTCCAAAAACACCAGTCCGAAAACCTCAATATACTGAGAAGCAAAAGGAAAAAATGAAAGAGCGCAGTGCTGATATTCCTTCTTTGTATAATGAGCTATCACAGCAATCACAGGATTGCTCCTCCATTACGACTAATAATACTATTTTCACACAAAGCTGTCCTGAACCTGAAAATGTGTCTATATTAGAATTATCTACTAGTGAGTTTGAGAAAAGTGAACTTGATAAAAATACTAGTAAAACTGGTAGTTTTTTCAACAATGAATTTTCTGATCTAGAAAGTGGAATAGAACATTTTGATAAATGTCATGAATCTGTAATATCTAATAATAGTGTAGTAAATATATTTATTAATAAAAGTAAATTGGACGACATAACTAACAAACCTACGCCTGATGATCATATTTCATTAAACTGCAAGATTGGAAACATGAATGGTGGAGTTGTTGTGAATGTGTGTGATATTGATCTCAAGAAAAATGTTGAAAAATCACCTGATTTAATATCTGAATTGAATGATTCGGATAAGGAAAAGAAAAGTAGTTTAGGTAAACATTCAAATTTCAATGGTAAAAATAACAAAAAAAGGAGTAGAGATGTTTTTGATACAAGTGATTCGGATTCTAACAAGTCGAATCATGATAGTAAGAAGTATCATATTGATTCAGAGAAGAATTCTGAAGCAAAAAATGGTTTTAATAAAAAATCTCCGTCAACTGATAAGTCTAGTTTAAAAAATAATAGCTTGATCACCACAGGAAATACTGAAGAAAAGAAGAATGCAAAGAAGAAACTGAAAAACAAACCTCATAATGATTTGAAGAAAAATTCTGAAAAACAAGCAACTATTGATAGAAAAAAGACAACTAATTCAGAAATTAACACAGAAGTTTCAAAAATTGACATATCTCCAAATAGTAACAAAAAAACACAGATCAAAGAAGGTGAAGAATCTAATAGTAAGAAACATTCTTTGCAAAAAGACAATAACTGTTCAAGCAAGAATAATAAAAAAGAAACAAATTCTAGTGGTGAGCAACATCTTAAGAAATCTAGCGAGAATAATTCAGATGAAAAGAAAAAGTCAAGAAAGCATAAAATAAGTGAGTCTGAATCATCAGAAGCAGATTCAGTCAATACAGGCTCGAGACGATTGCAATTTGAATTAAAACGAATATCAATGGACATAAAAAATAATGAAAATTTTGTTAATTTAGGTAACAGAAGATCAAAAACTACACCTCAAAAATTACCTTTACTAAGAACAGGAAAAATTAGAAAAGTAAATATTGAAACTAAGAAGCTCAAAAAACCTACCAACAACAATAAAAAAATGAATAAGAATAAAAATGATACCAGTGAATTATTAAACACAAGCAATAATTCAGATAATATTGATGAAATTGAATCATTTGAAGAGCCTAAGTGTGAAATAACTGAAAATGATTTGAAAAACAAACCTTTATCAGATCAAAGCAAAGTGCTAAACTGGTTGGAGAACTCTTCTAAAAATGATGAATGCAATTTGCAAACTAAAATAGTTTCAAACAAAACTGTAAATGTTTCTGTTATAGAGGAGGACAATATATCAACATTAAAAAATAAGAATATGTCTTCAAAGAAAGAAAACACGTCGATAACGAATGAAAAAAACATATTAGTGATGAATGGCAAAAAATTATCATCAAAGGAAGAGGAAAATACAACTCCAAAAAAAGAAATGCATTTATCACCTAAGGTTGAGAATTCATCTCCCAGTCCTGAGCATAATTCTACATCAACAAGACAACAGAAATCAGATACCAATGGCATGGAGTGGCAAAATATGACACCTAAACAAAATAATGAGATTCAAACATCTACGCCTAGGCCTGCAAAGGGTAAGTTTATAATTATATTAAGGGGAAAAAGATTCTAGTCTAGAGGCATGTATTTCATATGATTTTTGAAAGGCAAACATTATATTTACTATCTATTTTGTTTATAACGTATTAATTAATGTTCTAAGAATTTAGAAAGAGATTGAATATTAAAAACAGTCAAAAAGTTTTAATTCTAGCAGGTGATGAAAATATCAAGTAAATTGGTACAGTAGAAATTCAGAAATCGTCGGTATCATATCGAAGACAGTTTCGAAAAGTCGCGTTTATAGTATCGTGGAGGAAAGAAACAGAGGAGGATTATCATGATCAAAAAGCTGTATCATCGAAAATAATTTAAATTTTGAAAAAAAATTGTACACATATTCTTTAAAAATTCAACTTTGAATATATATACAAAAAAATCGATTTCTTAAAGCTTCTAGACTAGAATGCCCTTTAAAAGCAAAAGTAAATATTCACAACTTTAATTTTTTTAAATAAAAACTATTCATTGTTTTTCATTTTCATTGATAATGGAAATGGAATGTTGCTTTGGTGATATGAGCTAGATTGAGATAATTACAAGATTATGATCGCTGCACTATATTTAATTATTTTAAGTATCTAAACATTTTAATTATCTAAAATGTGCATGTATTTCTTGTAGACATCATTAACTAAGTTGACAAAGACGATAAAACAAGAAAATTTAGATAGTCCTCGAAAGACAACTCTTTTTTTTGGTAACTTTCAATGTTAGTATTCGCGAAATAATCCGATTTGCCATTATGTTTTTTTGACGTTTTAAGTCATTTTGAATTGACTGAGACCAAATTTGGGAAAAGTATGTGTTTGTGAACCGATTATTGACCTTTCGTCGACGTTTTCTCAAATACGCTTGGACCGATTTCAAAAATTTAAAAGCCATTCGATGTAACTAACTCGTAACTAGCAGAAAAGTGTAAAATATTTGGTCTACAATATTGAACCGATTTTAAAAATTAGAAATTGCGTTGATAGTTTTTTTTTTTAAATATTGTTGTAGTTTAATAGTTTGTTGAGAAATTTTTTTTGGCGATTTTGATAAAACTTTGTATGACGTCTTTATGTATCGTCATATTTAATGAAAAAAAGGAGTGCGCGTATGGTTCACACGTGATTAAAATAAAACTTATTTGCTACTGTACAAGATGGCATTTAAGTAAAAATAAATACATCATATAACAATTTTGAATAATGTTTATTAGTAATATGGTGATGCACACATTTATTAGTGTCAATCATTATACACATTTATATAATGATAAATTAAGAATTATATATTTATAATAGCATTAAAAATATGTATAATATTTAAAAACAATAATGTGATTAAAGTCATACTTCAAACATCACTTGATCGGTTTGTCATTGTAATTAGCATTTAGAAATGAACCTTCATTAGATAAATGAAGTAATTGCTGATTAATAAATTCTATAATATTCGTTCACACAGTGGATTATGTTAAACAATGCGATTACTTTATGTTAAACAAATATTGTTTTTGCAACTTCACACATCATGTAATTGTGTTTGAAGAACTTCATGTAATTAAAATTAACATACATTCATTGACTGCTTGTATTTTTTTTACTGGCGATATAATATCATTCTTTGAACAGCTGTAATATCTGTCTTGCCTAAAAAATATTTTCCATTTTAATAACTTCAAAGATTTATAGAAACTACGAATAATATAGAAATAATTTCTCATCAATAAACTCACGTTTAGCACACGGCACAAATGTTCAATTTGTTTTATTATTTTCAAGGAACAGGGGCAAATATCCTTCTGTTTCAGGCATTTTTCATTAAATCAAGATTTGTACTACTATGTAACTTTAAAATGTTTATTTATCTATGCCGATTTGCCGATTTTCTTGTTGATACAACGTTGATGCACATACACGACGACTAATCACAATCGACCCGTATTGAAATAATTTCATCGAGAGCGAATGACACACAGTTCGGGCGTAACGCAATTTTTGTTGTATTTGTACGGATTTACATCCTAGTCGCGACTAAAGAAATTTTACTTCAATAATAATTTCGACCATCACGCTACGAATTACAATCTACCTTTTCTGGTCGAAATTATTTTTTCAGTATTAAGTTTGCTTTCGATTTATATATTCATTCTTTTTCACTAACATTATTTTTGTGAAGTATTTTTCCATTAATTGTTTTTATGTGTGTTTGTATCTTAATTTTTGCGTTTTGTCCACTGAAGAAGAGTCAAAGTCGGTCTCGAAACATATGGATCTATAAAAATTATTTTAAGAAACATATTTTAGTTTTCATATTATATCCAGCATATATTATATTAATATAATTTGTTTCTTTTTAGACACAGTTGCAGATAATGAAAACATAATTAAAGATACTGATGATGATTCTGATAATTTCCAAGAATCAATAGAGATGGTTGGTAGTTCTCAGGAATGTCCAAGTCAAAGCTTATTCTTCAAGGAAGCTATGAGAATTAATTCAAGCGTGCCTTTTAAACATACTGATTTAAGGCAAATTAATCATACTAATGATGAATGCAAAGAAGCAGACACTAAATCAGGTGAAAAGATTAACAATAATTATTGTTAAGTTATATATAAGATAAGTTAACTTATTGGGTATATTAGAAAATCATTGCTTATTTTCATTACTCACCGACTATTCTGAAATTTCTTCTTTATATGACAGGAAAAGTAAAAAATTCTATTCCAATGATTGTCTTACATGATGCATTTGATCTAAAGAAAGGAAAAAATGGGGTTAATGAGATTAATGAAAATGCTGGTTTGAAACAACTAAGTTCCTTAGATACCAGCAACTTAAATACATCCAGAATTATAGCGTCGCCTGAGCAGGAAGATGCTGATGAGCGAAACAATCAGCTTCTTAATAATACCTTAGATATATCGCCCATAAGAATAGGTGAGTTTCAATATATAATTTTGTACAATTTATTATTTATCATTATTCAAATGACATCCTATTGTCAATATATAACATTATCTCCACTATAGATTTTGAAATTAAAATCTAATTTTACAGATGGACCTGTGCCAGAAATACCATCTGCAGCAAAAGAATCTGCATCAACAGAGTTGCTTGTTCCAAGTGCACAAAATAATTTACTTGCAATGAATAATAGCAGCAGCCCATTAACACATAGGTAAGAATTCTAAAGTAGGCCTAGTAATTATAATCATTAACTAATTATATGTATATTCGATTAAAACTAGTTGTAATTAACTTCTCGTAGGGTAAGTTATAGTAATAAGCCGAAAATCGAAAATGAAAATTTTTGCATATCTTCACGTTTCAAAGGTTTCTGAACATTTTGGCATACCTCAGAAAAAATGGATGTGTGAGTGTGTGTGTGTGGAACTAAATTTTCGTCGACGATTTCGGGCGTGCGGATTATCCGATTTGAATGGTTTAAAAAATATTTGATTCCTATTAATGAGGAGACGTGCTGATTAGTTTTTGACAAAGACAGGTCCAGCGGCTTTGGAGATATGGAGCAAAAAGTGCTAACAATAAATATCAAGTTTTTGAGAGAATGAGGTATCCGATTTGAATCATCCAAAAAGTATTCAATTTGTTATGATTAGGAGAAGTGGCGATTAGTTTTTGGCAAAGCCAGGAATTTTTTTATTTTATTTTTAATTTTCAATTATTTTTTTTTTTTTGGTATATTGAAAAATAATTTAGATTTTAATTCTGATTCTAGCTAAAGTTCTAAACATCACTTAAATATAATATTTCAATAAATAATTTTAACTTCGCAATTCAGTTTATATATACATGCTTACAAAATATTAGACAATGTTCTTCATTTTAAATCCGATTGATTAAGTTTTGTTTATTTGGCTTTTTAAAAATGAGAGTAATGAAAGTTACATTATTTATAGTAATCTATTTGAAAACATTTAATATTGCAGTTTGCATTAGGGCACGATGGTTGTAATTAATAGTCCTATTTATCCTATTTTGATACATTTTTTTTTTTAATTTCATAACATGTCCAAAACGATTTTATTTAACATTAAACGAATAAAAATGTTTAGCACAGGGAAAGTATAAATAACACAAGGTTAGCAGAGAACGGGTTAACTTTATCTTCGGGAAGTTCATAATTCGCATTATATAAATCTTATTCAAGATGTTATCATTAGAGGATCTATAATAATCCATCTGCTAACTACCATATCTCATCATTCTGATGAAAATAAATGAACCAAACAATGAATCAATAATATAGTAGTGTATGCTTTAGACAAAATACATAATTTGAAGTGCAAACTGGCATATTGTGTGATAAGAATTATGTACCCCTTGACATAGAAAATATTTCATAACGCAATATTTATTAACTTACAAAATCAATTATTTTTATAGATCTCGCTTACTATCCTCATCTGCAAACAAAGGACCAAAAAGTCGTAGCGCGCACATGCTCGGCTTGTGCAACCGCGAAGCCCCGATTGTTGAATCTAATGGCCCATTGCACAGTCCAGTTACAAAACAAAGAGAGTTGACATTCTCAAAACATATTGATTCGCCGTCCACGACGAATTTGAGAGCTGCCAAGTTATTAAAATTATCTGACAAAGATCTGCTGACATTTAAAAAAGATGTGCCTTCTCCTCATGCAAGCCCTTCTGCTAGTATTCTAAAAAGAGGGGCTAAAAGAAAACTGGCTGATGATGTTGATGCAGATATTCCACCTAATAAGGTAAGTTATTGTATGGAATATAATATATATATATATATATATATATATATATATATATATATATATATATAAATACTAGCTGACCCGGCAAACGTTGTTTTGCTAAGTAAGGTATATTCTAAACAATTTCTAGAGAATCAAAAATATTAATACTTTAAGTTTATAAGCATGTGTTGTTTGAATGCTTTATACAATGAGGTATTATCAAATCAATAAATCGCATTAGTTTGTCTATATTTTGTCCAAACAATCAAACTGCAAGTCTTTCTATAGATGACCATCTTTCTATATAGACCATCTTTCTATAGATGGTATAATCCAATCTAAATCTTTTTTTGGAATTTCGACTTATTGATTACGTTTTAAGCTTTTCAGATTCTTTTGGATTCTGGATTTTGTGTATAATTGTAAATAATACTACTGAGCTTATACAATTTTTTTAAATTTCTGTGAGGAAAGATAGAAAATGAATTTGATATATCTGCTTTGACCTGCTTTGTGAAAAGTTTCAAGTAACATACCTTGAATTAAAGTAAATTTAATAAAAAGTATATACGTAGAGCCAGGCAAGGCACAAAGGTTCAATTCGAGTTTGAGCAAATATAAAATTTATTATGAAAATCAAACCAATTTTATCACAACAAATGACACATTTCAAACGAACAATTATCTGACTACGTTCAGTAAAACTACCAGCTACTTCATCATTGTAAAAATGTGCTTTTTTTTGCGGTCTTTCAAAAATTTGTTATCTAGACCTTTTTACCCTATAGGCGGGGTAACTTGGAACGGCCAGGTAGCAAACAGGTTAAATGTCTTATTTTAATTTTAAAAGTATTTTACAAAATAATTACATTTTTAACTAATGCTAAAAAAGTACCAACAGAAGAAAATACTTTTACTATGGATTTTCAAAGATGACCGTTTATCTCAAGGTTATAGCTGGTTATACATCTTTTTCCCTTTACTTTCAAATAATGTTGTTAAACAATGCTTTAGCTTTACTGGTTTTTGACACTTTAGTCGTTGAACTTTTAACCCCGTACCGTACATTACTAACCATTCTTCGATAAATTCTGGGAAATTATAACTGGGAATAAGTTATTCGACAAAATGTACATGTAAATGTAAATGTATGTAATGTTCTTGTTCAGTCCTTGCATTTGCTGAACTGAACATTACATACATTTACATGTACATGTACATTTTGTCGAATAACTTATTCCCAGTTATAATTTCCCAGAATTTATCGAAGAATGGTTAGTAATGTACGGTACGGGGTTAAAAGTTCAACGACCAAAGTGTCAAAAACCAGTAAAGAACTAATATTCATTCACTATATTTAACATGAGGTAGTAGAGGTTAATTTCAATGACAGAAACACCGAATGACAGTTGACAATCGGAGGTAAATGTCATGGATGAAATCATTGATAGTATGATAGATTGAATAAACCACATGGATAGTTTATAAATAATTAATTCTGAATTAGAATGAAAAAAATCTCCTGGCTCTAAACTACCTCCCTGCCACCAATAGATTACTGAGCCACAGCAACGCGTGGCCGGGCTAGCTAGTATATATATATATATAATGAATTAGGATGAAAAACGGGATAAAAAGTATTTCATATGATTCTCCTGGCTCCAAACTACCTCCCTGTCAATTTTCATCTAAATCGTTCAGCCGTTCGTGAGTTATAAGTGTTCTAACTTAAGCGATCCTCTTTTATATATATATATATATATATATATATATATATATAATTACATTATATTATATATTGGGTTGTTCAGAAAGTAACTTCATTTTTCATAGACACTTTGACACATAAGTTTGTACAATAAACAAGTACTTTAATGAATTATGTATTGGCTGTTTTGGTCTAACATTTTTTTGTCATATTTTTGGTATTAGTATAATTCCGACATCATCAGCAAAAAACTGACCGAAGTGCTTTTTGTTCTTCTCATTTGAGGTAAAGGTTTTACTGCCTAAAAATTTTTTTAGTGACTGGAACAAATAAAGGTCTGACGATGGCAAGTCTTGAGAATATGATTGTGTCCCATTTAAGCTGCAAAAGCTTTTGACGATTGACCAAACTTATGTGAGGTCTTACGTCGGCTTGATGCAATACTATACATTGCTTTTTGGTTAATTCTGACCTTTTCTATTGAAGAACATAATTTAGTTTATTGAGCTGATGTCATAAGGCATCCGAATTAACCGTTATGTTATCCTGAAAAACCTGAAAAACGAACACTTTCAAAATTTTCCTTTCTTTTAAAATCTCAATAAATATACTGCGTCGCCTTTTTCTTTGCAACTGTTTTGAGCAGGTTTTTCTTTTTTGTTTCATGAGTATTTGCGTGTATTGTATTCTTTACATCCCATTCGACATTTCTAGTTACAATTTGCTTCAAAACCTGATAATTTTTAGGACTTTTCAGAGGCGAATCGCGGAAGCCAGGGCGACGGTACAGGTTTCTTTCTATGAAAACCATACATTGAGGTTCGAGGAAAATCCCAGACCTTTTAGCTCATCATGAACTATTAAATTTGATGAATTTAAAATCAATGGGATCGCATGTATTGTTACTCGCGGGTTTACATTAACTAATGCCTTTCTTGGGTCTTTATCAGCTTCAACCGTACTTCTTGGACGTGGTGCATCCTGGACATGTCGTACTGTCAACACGTGATTTCCACACACATCGGTCACTTTCATTATGACTTAAACAGAATTTTTACCTTTTCTATAGCAAAAGACTAAACCACGTCGAAAATGCTGCTTAATTCTGTATTCAAAGTGGAACCATTCAAAAACTATTGCTTGTAATTGATTAGAATTTTTTTACACACAAACTTTAAAATATAAGCTTTCAAATCATATAATAATTATAGGGCTAAAGTGTGATACTAGGTTTAAAAAAAAAAAATGTATTTATATCTTCTGTGGTAAAAATCAAAGTGACTTTCCGAACAACCTTATATTATATAAGGTACTTTTCTGCCCTTGATTACCTTTGATTATTCTAGCACCTGATCAGTATATTTACTAAAATTTATATAATATACTAGCTGACCCGGCAAACGTTGTTTTGCTAATTAAGGTATATTCTAAAGAATTTCTAGAGAATCAAAAATATTAATACTTTAAGTGTATAAGGATGAGTTGTTTTAATGCAATATAATACAATGATGTATTATAAAAACGATAAACCTCATTAGTTTGTCTATATTTTGTCAATACAATCAAACTGGAAGATTTATACACTTTCTATAGAAAACATAGTATAATCCATCCAAGTTTTTTTTGGTCTTTTGACTTATTGATTACGTTTCAAGTTTTTCAGATTCTTTTTGAATTCTGGATTTTGTGTATAATTGTAAATAATACTACTGATCTTATACAAAATTTTTAATTTTTTACGAGGAGAGATAGAAAATGAATTAAGTATTTCTTCTTTAACCTGCTTTTTAAAAAGTTTCAAGTAACATTTGATGAATTATAGTGAATTTAATAAAAAGTATATTTGTAGAACAGGTCGAGACACAAAGGTCCAATTTGACGTTGAGCAAATATAAACTATATTGTGAAAACCATAACAATTATATCACAACAAATAACACATATCAAACGAACAATTATCTGACTACGTTCAGTAAACTGTCTTCTACTTCATCATTGCAGAAATGTGCTTTTTTGATGGCTTTCAAAAATGTGTTATCTAGACCTTTTTACCCTATAGGCGAGGTAACTTGAAACGGGCAGGTGGCAAAAAGGTTTAAAGTCTTATTATAATTTTAAAGGTATTTTACAAAATAATCACATTTTTAACTGATACTAAAAAACTACAAACGGAAGAAAATACTTTTATTATGGATTTTCAAAGATTACCGTTTATCTCACCCATTTTAAAGATTACCGTTTTCAAATCAAGATTATAGCTGGTTATACATCTTTTTCCCTCTACTTTTCAATCCCTTGTTAAACAATGCTTAACTTTACTGGTTTTTGACACATTGGTGGTGGACCTTTTTAGCCCCGGATCTTTATATATTACTATCTATTCTTCGATAAATTCTGGGAAATTATAACTGGGAAAATGTTATTCGACAAAATGTCCCTTTGATCGATACCAAATTGAGGTTCTGAATTGAAATAACATAAATAAAGAATAATATAACCTAGAAAATGTTTTATAAATACCAATGAGTAAATAATGATACAAATGAGATCTTTCTGAGCACCGTGTTTGAGAAAAATATGCCAAGTGCATTTTCATATTAATATTTCAAAAAAGTTGATATTTTGAGTGTCTAGTAACACTTGCGGCCCGTTTACTAACGTTTTTGTATGTAAATAAAACTACAAACAAAACTACTTGCTACAATTTAATCATAATTAAATAATATTCACGTAAAACATCCTATTAAATATAATCGAACATCATCTGTCAAAAACGTTTGACATTTCAAGTATTAGCCACCGTCCATTGTTTTATTTACATTACGCTTCTATAAAAATTTTCAAATTAAAAATGTAAAGTTTCTACGCAATTTTGAAATAATATCTCACCTTTTGGACTTTCTCTGGATTGGCACGAATTTTTCAAGACTAAGACTGGCCAAATCGATTCAGCCGTTTTCGAGTTTTACTTGGACATTTGAAAGAGCGCTCCATTTTTATATATAAGATTAAACTATACACTGTTATTTTTACTAACTGTTTCATTCCTATTTTCAGTCAAAAAGAGTAAGTTTCAATGATCCAATATTTACTACAAAGTATCTTTTGAAGGAATCAGTCTCATCACCCCAAGATGTTGACAATTCTACCCCCTGTGTTCGAAAGCAATTGATAGCTGATGAGAAGTTTGTCATGGATCTTAATAATGACAACATGGAATTGTTTTGTAAACCAATTACAGTAGAAGATGATTTTTCTAAAGTTACAGTTCCAGACTCTGAAGAAATTATGGGTATTGAAAAAGAAATTGAAATGGAGAAAATTAATCTTGCTGAACAAGAAACACAGAGCCAAGTTGACACTTTAGATCCTCTGGAAGATAATGTTTTTAGTGAGGAAAAAGGAGATACTGAGACACAAGCAGAGAACAATACTGTAGAATTTTCTCCTACCATAAGATCAAAATCCATTTTTCCTGAATTATTGACTTGCTTAGATCCTGTTGGTGATTGCATTGATAACATTGTCTTGAAAACAAAACCAGAAGTTGTTCAAAGGTTTAGAGAAAAGTTATACACAATCAGTGATTTAGCTCGCTTAACATCAACAGAAGTAAGCAAAGCTCCACTAAGATCTCCAAAAATTGCTAATCTAAAGCGAGTTTTGCGCAATTATGCAAGAAAAATACAGAATTCTGAGTCAATGTCAGACAAAAATGATATTGAAGATGAGATCTGTGCTGATGTAGAAAAATTGCAACATAATGACATTATTGAAAATAGTAAAAAAGATTGTGAAGTTATAGATAGTGATCTTAAAGAAATACCTGATTCTGAATTAGTCTCTACGCAAGTTTGTGAAATTCTAGACAATGAATATGCCAAACACACTGAAAATCAATTGCATAAGTCAACGACTTAAAAAATAATCAAGACCAAGAAGATCCAAATATGTTAGAGCGAGTTTCAGAAACTCGAGAAACTGAACAGATCCCTCATAGTTCACTTGTTACAAAGAATATTATCAAAGATAGTACTACAAAAGAAAAAGGAACATCAATGTCAGATGACACATTTGTTTTTGATTCAATGGTGTTGAAAGAATTTTTGCAAAAACATTTTGACTCAAGGCCTCTAGAAACGTACGAGATAGTACAAGATCTCATTAAAAAGGTGTTAGAAAAAACGTACAAATAATATTAATTATATTTTTATGTTAATTATATTTTGAATATACATGTGTTCAAATTGTATATAAACTATAATATGTTTAGCAATACTGCTTGTATATAAAATATGTTTAATATTTATATATTTTTAATGGTGCCATTTTATGTTATTGGAAACGTTTGGTGCTCAACGAATTATTTAATAAAATTATTTTAATATATGTGTTCATCATTTTGTTAGAAAATTTAAAATTGTTACAAATCTATCTCCATTTTTTTCTACTGTTTTCATCAAACTTGTGCTCTTTTGAAAGATCAGCAAACTACAATATCAAATATTAAAAAATAAAATTAATATATATGTAATTGTTTCAGAAAATATTGTATAAATTTTCGTATAATATGTATTTATCATTTATCTATCAAATATGAACTTTTGATACACTTAGTAGTGATGTAATAAAAATTATTTGTAAAATAATTTCAGTAAGTATATGGTACGGATAACAAAATAACCATGTGAATTTCTTATTATTATTATTACAAGTCTAGATGGCTTGAATAAATAAAAATGTATGTATAATTCTGGTATTATGTTATACTGTAGTATAACGTACTATATAGTATATATACTATCAGACAAACCAAACTGGAAATTAATTAAAGTATGTAAATGATATAGTATAATAAAAGCGCAGTTTTTATACAATTTTAAATTCTATGAAATATTTTTTCTACTTATTTGGTAATAGTTTTACAAAATAAGTATTACACTTGAATCCAGTTATTATTTGAATGATAGCGAATGAAATAAATAACATTTTTAGTAGTAATATTTACTGGCTTGTTGGTTGGTTGGTTCAAATTTAAAATATTTTGTGAGATACCTTCAAAATAAGTTAGGCACAACCAATTCTAGCACTCATGTTCTACTCCGAAATACATATTTTGTGAATTGAATTTTTACGTTTTTGTTTGTAAAAGTAACTCGATAATAAAATTTTAGGGACTTTCTTTAGGAGAAGCAAAAACAGCTTTCCAATTAAAATAGAATATTTTCGTCCATTTTTGCAACTGCTTTGACAATTTTTTAGAACTGCTTTGTAAAATGTAAAATATGTTATTATGTGCCTATATTATTTTCTATTTAAAAAAAAAAAAAACAAAACAGGATTCTTATCGTTTAAACGATATCTGAATTCAGATTTCTGTGCCCATTTTTTGCTTAAATATTTTTTTTTTATCTAAGGCTTATATATAGTACCTCCCTAGACAAAATAATAGTACATGATTACAGCAGGTCTTAGACCAGGAGTTTCCAACCGTTCTGTACCTCGTCTTCATCCAATTTTTATAAAAAAAAATGTTGGGGAAGCCCAACTATATTTTTCTAACAACCTAATTTCAAATAAACTCAACTGATATTACAGTTTAATTATCAAGATACAAATTTATATACTACGTTATGTGAAAATATGCATAAAAATATTATTTATCTATTCATTTTTTTATATATTTTAAAATTTTTGGTTTATTTTAGAAAATAGCTTTTTTTTTTAATAAAATATGTAAACAGCTCCCCTTGTAAGAGCCTCGCGTCCCAAGAGTTGAAAACTACGGAACTAGAGCATAAACAAAACAGCCTGATCAGGCATTATTATTATATATTGTCAGGCATTATTATATATTGTCAAAGCTGATCAGGCCCTGATCAGCCTACTTAGCCTATCAGCTACCAGTATGAAGAGCAGGCTTACAACCATAGATAAATAATCATAACTACAGCAAAGCCTACTTGCTATGCAACTATCTTCACGTCTTAGGGGGCGACCATTAATCACGTGAAGCTTTTAGGGAAAGAGGGGGTTTGACAAAATTCACGTGGGGGAGAGAGGAGTCTAGTAAGATATCTCGTGTATTTATTTTTTACCTAGATTTTCAAAAAATAAAACAGAAATTTTACTTTTATTTCGTAAATTCTAAAAATTCGTTCGAAAAATTTTACGTAACTAAAAATACACGTAATGTTTGGCGGGGGAGGGGGGTAATTATAAATATCACGACGTATCACCATAAGAAGGAGGGAGGGTTAAAAAATTCGTAAAAAATCGATAACGTGATTAATGGACGACCCCTTATCAAACTATCAAATGAATTTCCAACTTGTGGCGAGCATAGCTCACTTAGCTTGTTCCATTCACACGACAGGGATCTTCGGATCGAATCCTATCATTGACTTAGAATTTAAGTAAATATATTCATATAGTTTAATTTGAAGTTTGTAAAAGAGAATTTGAATAAAAATTAGGAGTAAGAATTGAAATTACAGAATTCGAATAGCTGAGTTGTATTAGGAGTAAGAAGAAAAAATGTTAAAACTGGCTGAGATTAAGAATAAAGATATTATATAGAGGGAAGAGTAGAAGGAGTTGAATAGAATTAAAAATTTGAAATAAAAAAGGAAAAGTTGATGAGTGAGAATGAAGAAATCAAAATTGAAAATAATTGAAAAAAAATAAGAATAAAAATAGGATATTTAATATTGAATATGATATAAAAAAATAATAATATAGATGTATTTACATAAAATGCTATAGGTGGCTAAATGCTCAGAGTAAGCGAGGCCAAATAAAATTTAAAAAAAAATCCAACTACAGCAAAGCCTACTTGCTATGCAACTATCTTCACGCCTTATCAAACTATCAAATAATTTTCGAGATGGCAACACTGCCCTCTCTCACCGCGATTCACGAGCGTTGTCGGCCATATTGCTTCTAGCGTTTAAGAAAACAGATCAAACATGAACGCTCAGACAAAAGCACAACAACAACAAGTGATTTTTGGTGGTTTTAGTTTCGATGGCGATTCTTTGCCCGATTATAGTGAATTTGACAGTGAATCTGTGACATTGGACTACCACAAAGAAAGGTCTGTTAATTCTATTCTATTTTGGTTATGCGAAAAGTATTACTCGGCGCATATGTCTAAAAATAACACACTTAACCTTACAATCATTTTGATATCTAGGCCGCCTATCGTTTTGATTCGACTTTTTAACTGCTCATAAAAATGTAACTATTGTGTATTTTGATTATTTTTTAACGTGCTGTTTTATTTATTTTTCTGTGCATTTATTTACATTTTCATTTGGCAGATGTAAACATAACCTTCTTAACACTGTGCGTCATGTTCCAGTCAACAATAATAAAAGTAAAATATCGATTAATAATGACATTTTACAATGCCTTTCAAATATGTATTTTCTTTGAATAATTTGATTACAATAATTACATAGATTTTGAATAATGATTTCTATTTATGTAAAGTAGTGCTCGTACTTCTTAAATAAAGATTTAGCACTTTATTGCCATATAACTTACAATTAGTAAGTTTATATCATTTAAGTATATACATGCATATATTTTCATGATTTTATTTGCCTGAAGTGATTTTATTTTTTGTCTCATTATTGTTAAAATTTTCAATGAAATTTAAATTAACATTCATAATTGTTGAAGTTGTATAGTTTGAGCAGTTGAAAAGTAAAATCATAAATTAGCAATATGCACAGGGTGTCCTAGGGTGAGGATAGGGTGTTAAAATCACATAAACAGGGTAATAGTATTGATCCTAAATGTCCCGGAAAAAATGAGTGAAATTAATTATCTCACATTGTTTGGAAATTATAAGCTTTTAAAGTCATGTAGTGATGCAGATGGAAAACAATTTGAACACTTATTTTAATAAAAAATGGTATTTTGCTATGTTACTTTTATTCCAAATTACCTAAACTAAACTAGGTCTAGAAAGGAAGTTTAGGCCAGAATTATTCATTATTTCATTTTTTTTTTATTAGGAACAAACAAACAAAAATTTGAGTGTGTTTGCAATTATGGGACCACTTTTCGGTTTTTATTGTTTTACTCGAAAATTTTCAATAATAAAATTATCAAGCATTTTATTATTTTACAACTTTGATTAAATGTGCCAACATTTGATGAAACTTATTAAGACACAGTACATTTTTTTTTAAAAAAAGGGCCTCTCAATTTGACTGATTTTAGAAATGTTAAGTTTTGGGCTCAACATGTGTTAATTCTTGAAAATTTTGAGCAATTGTGTTATTGTTTTTGATTGTGGTGCTATAAATGTTATGCACGATTATGATTCCAAAGATTAAATTAACAAAATTAGTAAAGGTTAACCACAATAACCGAAAAATCACCAAAGCTCTAGGTTGCACTTCAAAACTCATGATTTTTAAATAACATTCGATTTTTTTCTAATTTTTTTCTGGACAGTTAAGATCAATGATATAATTCTGTAAGTCAAAGTCTGGGACACCCTGTATTATTTATAGCAATTTGTTAGTATTAGCTAGAGAAATACTTTTGACACTATTATATTATTCTGCAGTATTATATAATGCAACAAAATTTTTTTATTCAATGAACTCAGAAATGGTCAACGTATCAAAAATGTAGTAAATGCAAATGTTATCTGGTCGTTAATGGTTTTATTGCACTTGATAATAAAATTGGTTTTAAATATCATACAATTTTTGAAATGAATGTTTTAAATCAGGGCTTTTTAAATTTTTGTCCTTTGCGACCCCATTTATGATTGCCAGTTTCTTTACGACCCCACACACTAAAAAAAATTAATAATATATTTATATGATTAGCAATATATATATGAAAATATATAGTTCAAGAATTCGTTGAGAACATAACAAAAATCAAGACATGATATT